GCATTTTAATCAATTCTCTCCAACATTACCCAAATCATTCAACTATCTTATTGCTAAAAAGAATTCTACAAACTTTTCAAATGGAAATCCTTTGGACTGGTGCTTTATACACCAACTTTGAGAACAATTTAATGTGACTGGGCTTTATTGTTTTCAGTTCCTTCAAAGAAAAGCAAATGTTTACTATATCAGATATTTGTCTATAGTCAACTGATTTTCTTTCTTTCTTTCTTTCTTTTTGAAGACAGGGTCTTTTTGAACATTTTATTTTCTTCTAAGTACTCTCTGAAAAGTATTCTGTTTTGCAGTGTTCTTCATAATGCTCCATCTGTCCTGGATTTTCAGAAGATTTTTTTTAATCCCCTCAGAAAATTCAATGAAAAAAGGTAAAGGCTTTACTGCCAGTAGATTTTTGTTTCTCTTCTTTCTGGGAACGAGCCAGTTTGAGCTTAAAAATAGACCTGAGAAATATCTACAGCTTGAGAATCATTCAACCCTCTAATATTTGCTCTAGAATAAAAAGGAGAGTTGATACATCTGATCTCAAATGATCCCCATCGTTATCACCTTTTTATTTCAGATCAAATAATTCACCATTGCAGCCTCCTGGTGAAGCAAATTCCATTATGTTAACCACCTGCTCTCTCTTATTTTTAATTTATACTGACGAAAGAAGGTAGCAATTTAGGTCATTCTTAGTGCCCCATGTTCAGCATTTATCAATTGATGCTATTTACTATTTATTACCAATGGCAGTTACTGTGATCCTAACACCAGATGTCCACTGGGATAAAAATGTTGGGGCAATAAAAAGGAATTACTTATTTTTAAAGTTTTCTTTTAAAAAATATTATTAATTATAATTGACATAATAACATTTACAAGATTTAAGTGTGTAATCAAAGGATTTATTATCAGCTGATAAATCTGGAAGTGTGGCCACTTGAATTCCCTTTTATTTATTTATTTTTTTTTGAGACAGAGTTTCGCTCTTGTTGCTGGGCTGGAGTGCAATGGCACGATCTCAGCTCACCACAACCTCCGCCTTCCAGGTTCAAGCGATTCTCCTGTCTCAGCCTCCCAAGTAGCTGGGATTACAGGCATGCGCCACCACACCTAGCTAATTTTTTGTATTTTTAGTAGAGACGGGGTTTCTCTATGTTGGTCAGTCTAGTCTCGAACTCCTGATCTCGTGATCCACCCGCCTCAGCCTCCCAAAGTGCTGGGATTACAGGGGTGAGCCACCGCGCCTGACCCAACCACTTGAATTTCCAATGACAAATTAAAGTTGTTGATATGAATACATTGGTATTTGGAGGTACTTTCAGGGTCAATGTCAAAAGACATTTGAATAAGATGATCTGGATGTTTTGCCTTGGAAGTAGTTCATCTATGCCTACAAAATCAATCTTTTTTGTTGTTTTTAGAGATGGATCTCCCTATGTTACCCAGGCTGGCCTGCAGGGGGGTTATTCACAGTTTTGACCATAACACACTACAGTCTCAAACTCCTGGCCTCAAATGATCCTCCTGCCTCAGCCTCCAGAGTAGCTGAGACTATAGACCCAACCCAGCATGCTAAGCCAAAATAAACTCTAAAGAAGCTGTGGGTAAATTTCTTTCTTTTCTTTTTTGAGACAGAGTCTCATTTTCACCCAGGCTGGAGTGCAGTCGCACAATTATAGCTCACTGCAGCCTCAGACTTCTGGGCTCAAGCAATCCTCCTGCCTCAGCTCCTGAGTAATTGGGACTACAGGTATGTGGCACCATGCCCAGCTAAATCTTTTTTTTTTTTTTTTTTTAATTTTTAGTAGAAACAAGGTCTTACTACATTGCCCAGGATGCTCTCTAACTCCTGAGCTCAAGTGATCCCCCTGCCTAGGCCTCTCAAAACATCTGGATGGTAGACGTGAGCCTACCTGTGAGGCACCTGGCCTCACTCTCCTTCTTAAATAAGTTTTTCCTCTTTTCCTTGGTAACTTAAAGTTTTGATGTAATTTTATCTTTTAATTTCCATTTTCATTTTAGATTCAGAGGGGTCCATGTGTAGGTTGTCCATGTAGGGCTGAGGTTTGAGCTTCTTTCTATTGGTCCCATTACCCAGATAGTGAACATAGTTCCCAACAGGAAGGTTTTCAGCATTGCCTGCCTCTCTCCCTTCCTGTTTTTGGAGTCTCCAGTGTCTATTGCTCCCGTCTTTATGTCCACATGAATACAATTATGTAATTTTAAATGTACAGAAAAGTTATAAGAATAGTTCAAAGAACTCCCATATACTCTTTACTCAAATTCACCAATTTTTATTTTATTTTTACTCCAACTGAAATACATTTCACATTTAGCTTTTTACTTGAGAAAAAAGATTAAGGTCTAGTTCTTTTCAAAGTTTATATTTCCGTTTATCTCTAGCCTAACTGGTAGAAAAATAGCAAGAAATAGCACTGTTTTACAGCAAGGGAGACTGAGACACGGAGAAGTCTAACAGAACTCTGGGTTCCAGGACTGCCTATGGCCAACATAAGGAAGTCAGTCACCATTCAGCTTTGCAGTCTAGCTTGGCAGCCTCCATCCTGACATCTTCCTGGGACCCCTGGCTCCTACACAAAGCCCTTGCTCCTGACTCTTAGTTTTGATGACTGACATTACCCTTATTGTCCTAATCTTTGATGTGCCTTTTGCCTTTGGCGATTCTGGGATCACCACAATCAATTCAGCCCATTAGGGACCTTACCCTGTCTCAGCCCTTAATAGCAGGCAACTTAAAAAACAGTAGTATTTTCAAGTATGCACAACTAGGGATACCATGTGTCCCGGCACCTAGAATCATAGAACCAACAAACACTGGCCCTGAAGTGACCATGAAATCATTCAGCACAATTCTTATATTCAGATGAGGACACTGAGACCCCAAGAGATTTAATATTTTGTCAAGGTCACATAGTGAAGTGAACTGGTAGCAAAGGCATAATTAAAATTCTAGTTTTATTTATTTATTTTTTTTGGTCGGGGGAGGGATGGAGGCTTGCTCTGTCACCAGGCTGGAGTGCAGTGGCATGATGTTGGCTCACTGCAACCTCCACCTCCTGGATTCAAGTGATTCCCCTGCCTCAGCCTCCCAAATAGCTGAGATTGCAGGCTCATGCCACCATGCCCTGCTAACTTTTTGTATTTTTAGTAGAGGTGGGGTTTCACCATGTTGGCCAGGATAGTCTCAATCTCCTGACCTTGTGATTCGCCCGGGTCAGCCTCCCAAAGTGCTGAGCCACTGCACCCAGCCTAGTTTTATGATTTTTTAAACAACATATTGCTGCCTTGTTTTTCTTATTACTAATAATCACATGTAAAACAGTACGGCAGTTACTCCAAAAATTAAACATAGAACTACCAGAATTCCACTTCTGGTATATACACAAAAGAATTAAAAGCATGCCTTGAACAGATATATTTGAACACGATATTTATTTATTTTGAGACAGGGTCATGCTGTCACCCAGGCTAGAGTGCAGTGGCGTGATCACAGCTCACTGCAGCCTCAACCTCCAAGCTCAAGCAATCCTCCTGCCTCAGCCTCCTGAGTAGTTGGGACAACAGGCACATGCCATCATGCCCAGCTAATGTATTCTTACTTTTTGTAGAGATGAGATCTCCCTGTGTTTCCCAGGCTGGTCTTGAACTCCTGGCCTCAAGTGATCCTCCCGCCTTAGCCTCTCAAAGTGCTGGGATTACAGGTGTGAGCCACTGTGCTCAGCCTGTGCACTGTATTAGTCAGCTTGGACTGCCATAAAAATCATCACAATCTGGGCGGCTTAAACAACAGAAATTTATTTTCTTTAAGTTTTGAAGGCAAGAAGTCCAAGATCAAGGTATTATCAGGGTTGGTGTCTGTTGAGGACTCTCCTCCTGGCTGGTAGGCAACTACCTCTTGCTGTGTCATCACATGGCCTCTTCTTATCTACACTTATAGAGAGTGAGAGTGACAGAGTGGTGTCTTTTCCCTTTTTCTAAAAATAAGGACATCAGTCCTATTGGATTAGGGCCTCACCCTTCTGACCTCATTTAACCTTGATTACCTCCCTAAAAGCCCTTTCTCCAAATAATGTCATGTTGGAAGCTAGGGTTTCAACATATGAATTTTGAGAGGACACGAGTCAGTTCATAACAACTATCTTCTCAGTTTTTTGTAAATCTAGAACGGTTCTAAAAAATAAAATACATTAATAAAAAATTTAGATTCCCTAAGCAACCTAAATGTCCATTAACAGAAAAATGGATAATGAAAATGTAGTACATATACACAATAAAGTACTATTCAGCCATGAAAAAGAATGCAATCCTGTCATTTGCAACAACATGGATGGAACTGAACTGGAAGTCATTATGTTAAGTGAAATAAGCCAGGCACAGAAAGACAAACTTCGCATGTTCTCGCTGATTTGTGAAAGCTAAAAATTAAAACAATTGAACTCATTGAGATAGAGAGTAGGACAGTTAACAGAGGCTGGGAATGGTAGTGGGGCAGGGGGAATGTGGGGATGGTTAATGGGTACAAAAATATAGTTATACAGAATGAATAAGATCTACTATCTGATAGCACAACAGGGTGATTACCATCAACAATAATTTATTGTACATTTAAAAATAACTAAAATAATATAATTAAATTGTTTGAAGCACAAGGATAAATGCTTTAGGTCATAAATAACCCCATTTACCCTGATGTGATTACTATGCATTGCCTGCCTGTATCAAAATATCTCATGTATCCCATAAATATATATGCCTACTATATACTCACGAAATTTTTTTTTAATGTAGATACCCAAACCAAACTTTTAGAGATAAAAATATATCTGAGATGAAAATACGCTGGATGGGAATAATGGCAGATTAAACAATGGAGAAGAAAAAAATATGGATTTTGAAGACACAGCAATAGAAAGTACACAGCGAGTTGCCTCCACTGTGGGCCTGTGAGAATTGAGGCCCTTACCACTGTACCTATGTATCAAAACCAGTTAATGGCCTGGAACCAGCAGATGTTGGTGGTCTATGGGATCAGCACCTGGTCTCCAGTGGGCTCAATGCTTTATGTCAGGTGGAAAATGGCACACCCGTCAGGTGATGAAGTACAGCAAAAGGTTGACTCAACAAGTGAAGTACCCAGTCAACTATCTGAACCCCCAAAAGTGTTTTATGTGGAAACAATTGTTACATATAAAGAAGATTTTGTTCCAATTACTGAAAAGATCCTCAACTACTGGAAATCATGGACTAGTGCCCCAGTGCAGAACCATGACTGGCTGCTGAATTCTGAAAACCAGGATGTGGTTCAACATTTAAATTTGATAGATGCCTTGATTCCCATTTTGTGTTTGTGAAAAGCATATATATTTAATTTTGCTGTAAAACGTAATCACTAATAATATGCAATAAATATTTTCTTGAAGGAAACTAAAAAAAAAGTTCACAATGAAACAAAGGGAGAAAAAAGACTTAAAAAAAAGAAAGTGTTTCAATAAGCACTGGAATAACTTCAAGTAGCTGAATATATATGTAATTGAAGTCCCTAGAGAGAATATATTAATTTGCTAGGGCTGCCATAACAAAATATCACAGACTATATAGCTTAAATAAAAATGTATTTTCTCACGTTCCTGGAGGCAGGAAGTCTGAGATCAAAGTGCTGACAGGTTCTGTTTCTCCTGAGGCCTCTCTCTTTGGCCGGTGAACAGCTGCTTTCGTGTTGTTTCCTCTCAAGGCCTTTAGTTTGCATGTGCCTCCCTGTTGTCTCTTCCGGGCGTGGTGTGTATGGGATTAATGCCTGTAATCCCAGCTATTCGGGAGGCTGAGGCAGGAGAATCGCTTGAACCTGGGAGGTGGAGGTTATGGTGAGCCCAGATGACGCCACTGCACTCCAGATTGGGCAACAAGAGCGAAACATCGTCTCAAAAAAAAAAAAAAGCTATAGGAGAATTTTCTACTGCATAGGATGAAGCGGGCAGTGCCCCTGACCCTTGCATTGTTCAAGGGTCAACTGTAATTATAATAAAAATGAGTTCCAAGTGTTGCTATGGGATTAAGCTGAAGCTGTGAGATAGGGATTGCCGCAGCAGTGTTAACTAAAACTGCTTATTTCCTCAAAGACCTTACAAAATCAAACCATTTTTTACTTTTTCTGCATTAGTTTGATCACAAAGATGGTTACCACTTTATCTGATTTTTACCGCTTGTGATGTTACTATAGGAATATCTAAGCTCACAATTCCTCTGGGTACAAGATCCCTTTATAGTATAAAGATCCCTTTAGTCTGTCTGGGCTGAGTGTGGTGGCTCACGCTAGCACTTTAGGAGGCTGTGGTGGGTTGGTGGCTTGAGCCCAGGAGTTCAAGACCAGCCTGGGAAACATGGTAAGACCCTATCTGTACAAAAAATACAAAACAGTCAGCCAGGCATGCTGGCACACACCTGTAGTCCCAGCTACTTAGGAGGCTGAGGTGGAAGGAGACCTGAGCCCAAGGAGGTCAAGCCTGCCGTGAGCCGTGACAGCGCCACTGCACTCCAGCCTGGACAACAGGGTAAGACTCCCTCTCAAAAAAAAAACTCTGTCTGGGTAGACTGGAGGGGCTCAGAGTCCTTCCTGTCTTTACTAATTTCCAACATAGTCATTTAAGATAAGTTTTTTTTTTTTTTGAGACGGAGTTTCGCTCTTGTTACCCAGGCTGGAGTGCAATGGCGCGATCTCGGCTCACCGCAACCTCCGCCTCCTGGGTTCAGGCAATTCTCCTGCCTCAGCCTCATGAGTAGCTGGGATTACAGGCACGCACCACCATGTCCAGCTAATTTTTTGTAGCTTTAGTAGAGACGGGGTTTCACCATGTTGACCAGGATGGTCTCGATCTCTTGACCTTGTGATCCACCCGCCTCGGCCTCCCAAAGTGCTGGGATTACAGGCTTGAGCCACCGCGCCCGGCTATTAAGATAAGTTTTGACTTAGCTTCTGACACAACTTGAATAGGACTCTCGTTTTTGGAAAAATTAGGAAGAAGATGAGGTAAAAGCATCTCCTTAAAAGTCAGAGGCAGAAGATTTAATCAGAGGAATCATAGATGGGCATAGCTAATTTGATAGGCCCTTTCTTTACCAGTTCAAGGTAGAGAAATACAAGAAAAAACTCAACACCATAGGCTGTGTCATGAATAGGATAAAGAGTTTGGGTTTGTAAAATGGTCTGGGTATTTCCTTATTCCCACATTTTCTTATTCCTTCTTATTAAAAACACCACTTTGGGTCACCTTTAAATAGGTTTATTAAGGGTGGACACGATGGCTCACACCTGTAATCCCAACATTTTGAAAGGCCAAGGCGGGAGGATCACGAAGTCAGAAGTTCCAGGCCAGCCTAGCCAACATAGTGAAGCCTCATCTCTACTAAAAATACAAAAAAATTAGCCGGGTGTGGCGCCAGGTGCCTGTAATCCCAGCTACTTGGGAGGGTGAGGCAGAAGAATCACTTGAACCTGGGAGGCAGAGATTGCAGTGAGCTGAGATCGTGCCATTGCACTCCAGCCTGGGCTATAGAGCAAGACTGTCTCAAAAAAAAATTATTTATTTATTTATTTATTTATTCAATATTATACTTCTCAAGTAGAAGGCCAACTCCTTGATGGCAGTGCATGCAGCTGCTTCAGCTTTGGAAAGTACAGGAACTAGTTTCTGGTAGGTGTGGCACGATGGTGAAGGAGGAGCCGTGGTTTATATTCATGCAAACATAAATCAGTTAAAAGCGATGGCCTGTAGGGATCAGGCCTGAGGGTGAGAGAGTGGTTGGGCAGAGATCATCTACCATCTGGTATGATGGCCTACGTTTATCAATAGGAAAATACAGATACTACATTGTCGAGTAAAAAAACAACAGGTAACAAGATAGCGTAGAGTGTGCAAAGACAAATACTTGACAAGCTGTGGTGTAATTTTAGATTAATTTTATTTTTTATTGTTCATTTTCATGTTTTAATTTTTTTTTAAACAATGTATATATTTTACTTACTAAAAAACTGGGGGAAATTATACGAGTTTTTGAAAAATTGAATGAGGCCAGGCATGGTGGCTCATGCTTGAAATCCCAGCACATTGGGAGGCCAAGGTGGGCAGATCATTGGAGGTCGGGAGTTTGAGGCCAGCCTGGCCAACATGGAGAAACCCCATCTCTACTAAAAAAAGTAGAAAATTAGCTGGACATGGTGGTGCATGCCTGTAATCCCAGTTACTCAGGAGGCTGAGGTGGAAGAATTGCTTGAACCCAGGGAGCAGAGGTTGCAGTGAGCCAAGATTGTGCCATTGCACTCCAGCCTGGGCAACAAGAGCGAAACTCTGTCTCAAAAAATAAATAAATAAAAATTTTAAAAATTGAATGAGGGCCGGGCGCCGTGGCTCACGCCTATAATCCCAGCACTTTGGGAGGCCGAGGGGGGTGGATCACGAGGTCAAGAGATCGAGACCATCCTGGTCAACATGGTGAAACCCCGTCTCTACTAAAAATACAAAAATTAGCTGGGCATGGTGGTGCATGCCTGTAGTCCCAGATACTCAGGAGGCTGAGGCAGGAGAATTGCTTGAACCCAGGAGGCGGAGGTTGCGGTGAGGCGGAGATCGCACCATTGCACTCTAGCCTGGGTAACAAGAGTGAAACTCTGTCTCAAAAAAAAAAGAAAAAAAAAATTGAATGAGATTATGGACCCTTATTGAGAATTCAGATACTCAATAGACTTTTCAAAATTCTTACTTGTCTTCAATGGCTTAGGATGTTCTTACTTGGGGGACAGGGATTTGGGCACAGTCCCTTCAGTAGAAAATTAGCCACTCTTCAAATAGCCTGGGCAGCTCTTGAAAGTACCAGGCTAAGGCATCCTCCAGAAACCAACACAGAGATACAACCAATGTTTCTCAAGAACACTGGAAACAACCTAATGGCCCAATATTATGTGATTTTTAAAGTAAATTATGGGACCCCCAGATAATAGGAATATTTGCAGCCATTAAAATCTATGGTTCATAAAAATATTTAATAACATGGGAAAATGCTCAAATTGTAACATTAAATTTAAAAAGTCATATGTGGTGTTATGCTATTTGAAGAGAATTATATATGCAATTTAATTTCCAAAAGGAAACAGACCCAAATGTTAATAAATGTTGTCCCTGAGTAATAAAAATACAAATATAATTTCAGTTCCTTTACCCCTTTCTCTATTTTCAAAAATTCCTACTATGACTTAGTTTTATAATTAGAACACAAAATGTTATTATTATAGTTATTTTAAAAGAAGTTGGCTTATAGAACTGGAGAGAGGTTCATGACACAGGCTCTAAAGCACACAGTGTAGGTAAAAATCCTGGCTCTGACAAGTCGGCAAGCCACTACCCCTCTCTGTGCCTCAATTTCCTTATTATTATTATTTTATTATTATTATTATTTTTGAGTCAGAGTCTTGCTCTGTTGTCCAGGCTAGAGTGCAGTGGCATTATCATAGTTCACTGTAAGCCTTGACCTCCCAGGCTCATGCAATCCTTCTGCCTCAGCCTCCAAAGCAGCTGGAACTACAGGCACATGCCACCATGCCTGGCTAATGTTTAAAATTTTTTGTAGAGACAGAGTCTCACTTTTTTGCCCAGGCTGGTCTCAATCTCCTGGCCTCAAGTGATTCTTCCACTTGCTTCCCAAAGTGTTGGGACTATAGGCATGAGCCATCGTGCCTGGCCTAATTTCCTTATCTTAAAATAGAGATAATGATAGTACCTATTTCATAGGGTAGTTGTAAGATTAAATGAATTAACTCATAATAGAGTGCTTAAAATAGTGCCTGGCATAGAGCAAATGCCTCCCAGGGTTATTATTATTGCTATTATTACTACTGTACATTGAAAGTTCTAGCCTCCTACCTATTCACAAGTTTAGCTATTTCAATAAAAGCTGTTTTCTGAAAATAATCACAGACCACCAAGATAAAGTAGAACCTGAATACAATATTTATTGCAAAAAACTCTTAATGATTTTCTGGTGGATCAGAAAAGTGCCTAATTTCTTGCTGAATTAGGCAACGGAGAGCAAAGTATTTAGAGAGCCAGTCTGTGGTTGCTTTTTTCTTTCTCTATTGCCTTGATGCTGTAGACGTAATCAATGAGTTATATTTGTTTATTCAAACAACAGAGGGAGATCTCTCAAAATTTTCCCTTGGTGCACTCCAAGTTCATAGCTATAGCTCACCTCTCAGAATTTGGGTCCAAATTTGGGTGAAAAGGCAATGCTCAAGACCACCAAGATCTGAGATTTGAATTTATGTCTATCTGGACCACGCTTTTTTTTTTTTTTTTTTTTT